AACGATAATAAATTACAGCAGCGCAAAACTATTTATCGCAGGTGGGTCTGACTCGGCAGGAGGGCAGAAAGCAGGCAGGCGGGGTCCTTCGTCCTTTGCTAAGTAGTTTTTAATTACACTTTGTTTACTCCCTTTTTGCATGCTGCTCCTTCTACTCCTGATGCTCTTACTGCTCCTGCTGTTCCTTAAATGCATCTGTAACTGGACTCGTTCAGGATGCTCCTCTTGCACACGCTGCTGAAGACGACATTTGGTCTTTCATTAATTATGTGCATGCTCAAAGTTTATCTCAGGATTTTCAAAATTATGCCAAAGATTGCGCTCTAAGCGGGCAGCCATTACAAATTATAATCAAACGCGTGGGTTCTTAATAAATTTGTGCGATTCTTAAAGTATATCTGACTGTTGTCTGGCATTACTCATACGCCGTGTGGCATGAAACTTTTGACAACTTTTTTCCCTTGCTCGTTCGCTTCCTCTTTTTTCGCGCTGACAGACGTCTTAGTTGGCCCCCTCATGGTGCCAGGTGAGTAAAGTTACCTTTCCCGAACTTTTATTCTCTGCTGTATGTAAGAAAATATCTTACATATATATACTATATGTATGAATTTTCTTGTCACGCTGAGGTCCGTGAAATATGATGCAATTTCTGGCGCGATAAAGTTGCAAGGACGCCACGATCTCGAAGCGCATCAAAATGTGAGCTATATATGTTGACTTTGAGTGCGGGAAAGTTTAGGAATCCTTGCGGGTGAAGTTGCTAGATACTCTAACGGAAAAAGGTTTAGGAAAGGAAGGTTATTCAGCTGAGGGAAATATACGATTTTATAGAAAATAAAATAAAGGAATTTAAGTAATATAATATTAATATTTAAAATGGAAAATAAGGGATCCCATCAAAGCAAAGGTTTTCTGGAAACTCAACTGAATTTTTAGGTTTTACTTAAACTGATTTCCTGAAAAATGGAAATAAAATATCGAATTAAGAAATAAAATCAAAGTTAAGTAAATTTCTTATTTACTAAAAACCAATCACACATCTTCAGGGTATTCTACCAGTAACAAACCGCTTCGTCTACCTTCGCATGAAAGAAATATGGTTAAGAAGTGAACGTAAACAACATGACAAATACAAACAGACACACCTACCATAAGCAACATATGTAAGTGGCTATATGTACGCTGCACGCTCTATACATATATAATTTTAGTTAAAAGTTTTATTTCTCGCATATTTCATATTCTTGGCTGAAACTTTTTTTCACCTCGAGCATTTCCTTCTTTCATATTTCATCCCGAAAAAGAAGGACAAAGAAAGGGACAGGGCAGGCAGAGTGCGGGAATCTAGTGAGAGAAAGCGAGAAGGGCTTGGCGGCGCATTCATTATTGTGTAATATTTTTACATTATTTTATTATAAATCAACAAAATGCACTCAACGCGCCAGAACAAACAACAAAAAAAAAAGAAAATAACTTAAAAGTTGCATCTACGTCGACGCCGGCAGCGACTGCAGCTTCTGCCTCTGACAGCAGAAACACATTAAACGTCATAAAATGCACAACGCAGCGAAAAGTCGCCGACAACGAGAAGGGGGGTTGGGGGCATTCAGGCCCTTTGCCTTTATAATTTATTTTTGCTTGAATTAATGTGAATACTTTTTACCACTTGGCTGCACAGAGTTGCCCCAGCTACCTGATAGTGCGGCATCCAGTTCGCAGTCTGTGCCTCCTGATAAGGAAGGTGCTGAAGGGGAGCCCCGAAAAATACTTAAAAATTATCAGAAGTGCATCAGGAGGATCCTTAAAGGATGTGTAAGCGAAGGCAGGACATATAATATTGCTAATTGAGCTAATTTAAAGTTCTTAATTGACTAAATTGGCAGGCTTAAACATAAACTCTCCTTTCATGACATGTTCAAAGCACAATCGCAATGAATACTTTTTCCACAAGAAATACCATATCAGTTTTAATACCCAAGCTTCGCTACCAGCTATGCATAATTAGTCTGGTCATGCCAACCAACGAGATTTGGACTGTGTTTAGGGGGGGTAGCTGAAAACTCACCGACCAGTGGGAAATGTGCAACATCATCAGCTGTCAACTGCCAGCTGCAACATGCAGCATCAGATGCGAGCATGCAAGATGTGCAGCGACTGTTGATAATCAAGTCAACATTAGAGAATATCCGCTCATGTGGACACAGAGCTGCGCTGTCCGGGCATTGTGGCATGTGAGTAATATTCCACTACCACCGCCAGCAGCAGCAGTAGCAAAATCAGCTCTAAAACTCGTACAAAACCAATAAAATTATTGAATGGAAACCAAGCATAAATCACAAAAATTCAGAACAAGCATGTAAGGAATATTTAGCATGTTGCTCGCTCGTTCTATGTATTTTTACGTTCGTATAGATTTTTAATTTAAAACAACCTGGCTGAAGGTAAGCCCGAGCACCTGTGACCAGGAAAAATGCCCTCGAAAGGCCATTAGTTGTTTGTTCAGAGCCCAGCCTAATGTCCTCTTGTCAAAGTCCAAACGCAGACAAAGGCAGGGCACCCATACTCACGGAGGGAAATACAGACACTAAAAAGAAATTTTACTAAGAATTAATTTTTAGGAATAAAGCTATAAGAAGTTGTTTATTTATTTTATTAAAAAAGATTTAAAGATATTTCCAACTATTAAACTCATTAACATTTTTTTGATTATTTAGTAATTGCTTCTACACTATTTTTCTCAGTGTTACAGGTCAGTCTGTGCATGCAAAACGTAGCAAGCAATAAAGAAGATTTGTGTCGCCGTCGCATTTTGTGGATATATTTTGACCCCTTCACATTCTCCTCTCGTCTGTTTCTTCTTGTACTCTCCTTTTTTTTGCAAATTCTGCAGAAAATCTCAGTCCAGAGTAGAAGTCAAGTTTGGTTTGGGCTAATGACCACAGAATGGCTGCTGGTTGCAGTCACTCAGGTTGGCCCAAAGGACAGGTACAGCACCGACTTTGTTGGGCTTCTGCATATGTAACTTAGGTTTGAGGCAAAGAAATAGGAAAGGAGAAAGTTCCTGTACATGTTTCGCCCAGGTGATGAACAGGTCCTACAGAATGATGACCGAAAATGAAATATGTTGACCCATTGGTCGAGTTAAAATCATATTAAAGAGGACTTAAATTAGATTTATGTGGTAATAAAGTTTGGTTTATAGTTTCTAGAGAACTACAAATACTCGTTTGAAAATATTACTTTCTATATATGCAGTTTTAAGTTCCAGAAATCATCACGAGGCTAATAGCATTGACCAACTTCTGGCCAAAAACCAAAACTTTATGATTTCAATTAAGGCATAATGCAATTACCTTTGCGCCTTTTCAATTAGCTTTCTGCAACATGTGGCTTAAATGCGATTCCACCCACTCAAACATTATCGATTGGGCTGCCATATCTATACCTTTTAGCCCCGTTTCAAACTGCCAGCCAGTCCAGTCTGTTCCGTTTTTGAAGCCCATTAAATTCTCCGTTTGCCCGGCCAACTCAACTTCCAACGTTTGCTCCCCAAAGATTACCGCAAATGCACAATGGTAAAATAATCATAATTGCATATAAAATGTTAATGGGCAATGGACCAGGACCCAAACGGCAGCGAATGTTTGGCCAGCTCCGCCTCGCCCTCTCTAAAAAAAAAACTGGAAAACTTTTTAATACACCAAAGGACACATTTGGGCCCCTCCTCTCTACTCCGCCCATCGAATGTGAGCGCCGCAAAATGCAAAAACAATTACGAAAACTTTGTTGCCCAGGCCCAGGCCGAGGACCTGGAAAAACAAGGGAAAACTCAACTCCAAACCAAATGTGGGAATTTTCCCAAGCACAACTTCACGCTGTTTTTCCTTCGCCCTCTCACACCCCCGCAAACTGGCTCGTTGCTTGTTGCTTTTTATTGGTTATTTGTTGGCATCTTTTCAGCGTTTTCTTTTTTTTCGCTGTGTGGATTTTTGCTTTCATGTTTTCATTGCTCAAAAACGAGCGGTGGGCGTTGGTGTGTGGGGCGGAGTAGCAGCGGCCAACACTTAAATTTACATAATTTCCGCTCCAAGTCACCAATGTAAAAGCTTTGGCCAGAATCAGCTGCTCTCTTGGTCCAAAGGCAACCGTCCTAACTTTTCCCCATTCCTTTTTTTTCGTTGGTTTTTCTTTTCTAAAAGCGCGGAAATGTTGGCAATATTTTAACGCTTCTATTTTAGTTGAATTTTGCGCCGTGTTTTTTGGGTGCCAGCTCTTGTTTTTGTGGTAGACCCAACACGTTGCTGACTTTTTGGCCTTTGGCAAGTGCATGAACCAAAAGTGCAGCCCAACTTGTTGTGGGCCATAATACACCAAGGGCAACTTTATAGACGCTTAGCAATTATGGCCACGCCAACAATTTTATCCCCATTCCAAGCCTTGTATCCCCTCGCCTTCGGGTCACGTGAACTATGAGTCCATCGAGTGGTTCGCCAAATGATAAACGATAGGGGACAACGGGTTCAGCGAAAGGGAAAGGGTTGTGCTCTATCGATCTGCTTGACCATTTGAAGTGTAAAAAGTGCCCCAGGTGATGGAATCGTTTAAAATAAAAGCTGTTCCAATTGGGCTCGATGGTGGAAGTGCTGTTAAATATCCCATTTTGCCAATCGATTTGACTAGCTAATTTTAAGCTATTATGACTCTCACTAATCTGCTTAAGCAATAGTTGATTTTTATCTTTTATAGTCTCATAGTTTCAATATCAATTAACTTTGCCTTAAGCACAACATCAAGGGCATTCTGAAAAAATAAGTTTATTTCGATATCTTCTTAGTGTGAACGTACCAAAAACTTGATGTATCGATGTAATCGATAATTTCCAAGGTCATACTAATTCTGCAAGATTTTTTTGACATAAGAAAAAAAATAATTCGTAACAAAGAGACTAAGTAAGACTAAGAATGAAGCGATCTTGTGGATCAAATTATCCTTTAAATAAGATGGAAAATCCGAAAACAACCAAATTAGTGCTATCGATTGGGTCGCTGATGGATAATGAAGAAGCGGTTGTGGCTGATGAACCTCCACGAGACTTTGAGGACTCTGCAGTGCCTTCTAAGCCACCAGCTCTCTCCCCAGTTGAGAATATTGATATGGATCTTGAGTCAGCAGAGACTATCTTGGCAATAGATGCCCAGGCAGAAAAGCACGGCTTGGTTTTGGAAGCACCCAATTTTGAGCCATCGATTGAGTCGCTTGTGGAGAATGGAAAAACTTCTGTTTCTGCTGAACTTCCACGACGCATTGAGAACCGTAAAGTTCCTTCAGATCCACCAGCTTTGACCGCAGGTGTGCATAATGATCCAGCTAAGACTATCTTGGCCATAGATGCAGAGGAGAAAAATAGTTCTCAAGGAGATAACCAAGTCTTGGTTTTGGTAACACCCAAATTGGAGCCATTGACTGGGTCGCTGATGGAGTATGAAGAAGCGGCTGTTCCTGCTGAACTTCCACGAGACTTTGAGGAGCGTACACTTCCATCTGATCCACCGGCTCTGATCCCATGTGTCAATAATGATGTAGATCCCGAGCCAACCAAGACTATATTGGCCATAGAGAACAATAGTTCCCAGGGAGAGAACCAAAGCTTAGTTTTGAAAACACCCAAATTGGAGCCATCGACTTGGTCGCTGATGGAGACTGAAGAAGCTTTTGTTACTGCTGTACTTCCACAAGAAAATGAGGACCGTACAATTCCCTCTGATCTACCAACTCTGACTCCAGGTGAGAATAATGATAAAGATCGTGAGCCAGCCAAGACTATCTCGGCCCTAGATGAGAATGAGAAAAATAGTGCACAGAAAGAAAACCAAGGCTTGGTTTTGGATTCAACAGCAAGTAAGTTTAATGTTCACATCCGAAATTTAAACTTGTATTTCAGCAATATTACATAATATAATGTTGCAGATACCATGCCCCTTGAGAATGCTATCGAGAATCAAGATGTTCCTATCCCAAAATGTAATCCTGTATCATCGGAGGAAACGGAGGAGGACTGCGGCGAAGAACCTTTTCTAGATATTACCGAAGAGGATCTTGACTCCATCTTCTCTGATAACACCACTTCCACGGAAAACGAAAATAGCAAAATCCCATTCAAGGCAATCTTCAGGAACCGAAAGAAGGATTCAGATCGCCGCCGGCAGTCGAAGAGCAATCTGAACCACTATTTGTGCAAGACATTGATACCCAAGAATGCCCTTACGATACTAAATGAATTGAACGGTGTGATTATTTACAACACATCCGTTAAACGCGACCACGAAGAACAATTCAAGGCTTCTATGATTATCAACTCAAAGGAATATGTTGGACAGGGCCCTTCAAAATTGTCCGCCAGAAATGCGGCCTCCGAGAAGGGCTTACGTGATATTTTTATAGAGAAAATTAATGACGGTAAAGATTCTCTACCCATGAAGCAACTGGCCTCATACGCCCTTTACAAACTTTTTAAGGAGTGGCAGAATGAAGGTTTCAATAATACAGCTTTACTTAGTGATATGCAGTGTGGCCTAAATGGTTTTCAACAAAAGCCGCTTTTACGCACAGAATTGCCCAGCAAATGGAAGACCATGCATCCCTGCGCTATTCTCCACCATATGCGCCCTAACTCTTCTTACAAGTTTTTGGGACCTACTGTCTGTCAGCATACTATTATATTCAATATGGGAATGAATGTCGATGACCAGGAGTTTAAAGCTAGCGGAACATCCAAGAAGATTGCACGCCACAATTTGGCCGAGCTAGTGTGCAACAAACTGTTTGGAACCAATCTGCCTGGAATAGATACTGAAACTTAAAGAATTTTATGCTTTTAGAATTTTTTTAAATTTAATTTATTACAGAATGTCCTACCAGTGCTTTCATTAAGAAGCTTAAGACATTTTAAGCTATCTTGTAAAGTATTTGATTTTACTGCCAGCGAAACTTGTTCAATCTTTTCTCATTACAGCACTCAGAACCTATGCAATTATTTGCATTCAAATCTCACCCCTCTACTCCACCCTGTCATCATAGAAAGACAAACAAAAAAGCGACAGAACAAAGATCTTGGATATTGAATTTAATTAAAAATGTTCATGACAGTTCAACCAGCTTATTATCCTGTCACACTGAGTGAGCTTTGCAAAATTAAACAAAAAAAAAATGGTTGTAAAATGAAAATGGAAAAATAATTTCAACGAACTTAATTGAATTCGAATTCGAATTGTTCAGCTGGACTGGGAAGTTGTCTATACTGACAGAAAAAGGACACCAAAGAGTGTTAATTTTATTATACGCTTCATCAATATCCAGCTAACTTCCGTTTGGGTTTATTAATGCCCTTCTTTCCCTAATGGTTATCCCTGGGAAATGGGCTGGGCAACCCAGTTTAATGACAATTAACATTTTTCTAATGGCCAGCAATTAGAGGAATCCCCGGGCTTTAAGCAAGATTTATACGAATGAGGGAGGCGGGGCGCTCAAGTCGAAGCCAAGTTCTCGCACAATGTTGGCCTTATTATTACATTGTTTATGAGAGCGCCTTCTCCTTGACTTTCTCCCTGCTCGATTTATTGTTTTGTGTTGCGTTGTTCTTGTTGCTGGCTTGTTTAACAAGACCGTCTCGCCATGTTTACTAGTGCAGGTCCCAGGTCCCAGAGAAACTCCCAAAACTCCCAGAGCCACCCTCTTTTGAGGTCGCAGCATCTTGCGGTCCGCCTCAAGTCATATTTCCTTATTATCTGGGCGGTTTTTGGCTTTGTTTTTTCGCCGCCCCTTGACTTTTTTGCGGCTGACCTAACGAAAAAATGGAATTATTAATGGCCTCGTCCATTTGCTGCTAAGTGGCGCAAATTGTGTGTTTGTTTATATCATTTGACAGGCCAGGGAATCTTAAAGCGTTTTATTTTTTCCTGTCTTTCGGTCTTCCGGTACCTTTAGTTAAAATTTTGTGAGGCAGTCGAGGGAATGGGGTACAGTTTGTCGAGAGCATTGAACCTTACACTTTTTGGTCCTTAAAGATGTTACAAGAATCAACATTAAAGTGATTATTAAAGAATCTGTTAAAGGATAAATAATAATCTAAACGTTAAAAATTCAGACCTTTGAAAATATATGCAGTATTTTGCCTATCACAAAGCCAACAGTATGCCCATAGGTATTATGGCCATAACTTAGCCAATAATGGTCCGAATATGGAATTTCATACCTCGTTGAGCTTGTATTTTAATCTATATTCATAATATTCAAGTGCCACTGAAATCTAAGCCAAAAAATATTTTTGCAAATTTTTCGAAAAAATGACGATGGTACCCCTTACAAAAAATTAAAAATTTGAGAAAAAATTAATTTTTGATAATCAGCATTATAATGATACAGAAAGTTTGTTCGGGTCGTTAGCTTCATAAAACAGTTTTCCTTTTGTTTGTGCCTTTTAATTTGACCAAATTATAAGCATGACACTGGGGGAAAATATTTCAAATTTAACTAAAAACCCATAATTTTGATGTTCCACCCAAAATATCAGTATTTTCCACATTACAAAGCCAAAAATAATCATATCATGGAATGTTATAACTCGTTGAGTTCCTATTTAAATTCCCCGTCGAACTGTGTACCACACTCAAAAAGTACATTTTTTGAGTAATTTCGTAAAATTTTTCGTCTTTCAAAAAACGCGAAAATCGGTCTGTCCCGATTTGTGTCTCAAAATATCAGTATTTTCTTCATTACAAAGCCAAAAATGGTCGAAATACGTAGTGTCATACTTCGTTGAGCTTGTATTTTTATCCATTTTCAAAATATTTAACTGTAATTTAAATGTGAAGAAAAAAATATTTGTTAAATTTTTCGGAAAAATGATGATGGTACCCCTTACAAAAAATTCAAAATTTGAGAAAAAATTAATTTTTGATAATCAGCATTATAATGATACAGAAAGTTTGTACGGGTCGTTAGCTGCACAAAACAATCCTCCTTATAGCTGGGCGACCTATTTTGACAAAGTTATAATATTAATGCTGGTAAAATTATTGCAAATTTTACTCAAAAGTCATGGTTTTGATTTCAAGCTTAATATATTAGCAAATTTCCTACAGCAACTCCCAAAATTGTCCAAATATGGAATGTAATACATCATTGAGGTCGTAATTTAATGAATATTAAAATTGCATTCAAATCTGGATAAGTAAATTTTTGACCGATTTTATCAAAATTTTCATGTCCTGAGTAAGAAAATGGGTTGATCTTGATTTTTACCACCAAAAATCACTATTTCGTCCAAATAAATCCAATAATGGCCAGAATGTGGAATGTGATATCACGTTGAGTTTGTTTTTTAATTCCTAGTCGAATTGCATTCACAGTTTAAAATGTTAAATTTTTGGCATATTGAAAGAATAAAGAATTGGAAATATTTATGTAGAAACGTAAATCAAATGCCCGCTTATTCAGGCTAACTAATTAAAAGTAATCCTCCAACTTGAGTCCCTCGTAAATACCAGCTTAAAGTATCTGTTATCCTTTGCCCCTCTATTGCATAACCTGGTCAATACCATAGACATGACCAGCACCTTTCATATAGCGGTAGAACAAGCCTTGCGTAACTTTTCCACCGCCCACTCACTTCATCCCACCCTCATTGCATTAATTACCGCATACTTGGAGAGCATCTAGAGGGCAGAAAGGGTAAGGTAAATCTGTGGCTGTGCTAAATTGCACTTCAAAACGAGAGCAGCTTCCCTCTAGATGAGGATGTGGATATGGATGTCCTGGATGTGCGGCTCCTGGAACTCCACCTCGATATCCCCTGCCCCTTTGAAAGTTCCTGTCGTAAAGTGTTTGCACGTGAGTTTGTGGGCGCCAACATGCGCTGATTGAGAGTTCCTGCCCCTCCTATCCCCATCCACTCACACACTCTCAATGGAGAAAGGATAAATGAAGGACGACGCTTAGATCTGACGTTGAAAAAGAGAGCAACCAGCTAAGCTATATGTTTTCCTGACACACTCAACAAAAATTTAATAACAACATTAATTTTAGATCAATAAAATCATAAAAGATAAATACAGTTTTATATTAAATATAATTTTTGAAGAATTCTATTTCTGCTCACTTTTATTAATTTTTATTTAGTTTTTTAAGAACTCTTTTCCTGTGCTGCTTTCCATTTTTGTTGTACTTTTTTTGAGATTTCCGGTGAAGTGTTGTTCAAGCGCTTTGGCAAATATTTGATTTTAATTTTTCCAATTAATTGGTTTTCCCTCAAAAATTAAACGTCCCAGCAGGCCGGGATTCATCTATACTTTTTTCCTGCCACCTCAACTACCTGGCATCATTTACATGCCACAAAAAAATAGAGATTTTATTTGCTTGTTTTGCTCCTCTCAGACTTTAAATGTCTGACTTTAAGCAGGAGGAGAACGAGTTGGTGGTATAAACACAAAAACTTTGTCCTGCAACCGCAAAGTGTGGGGGCGGAGGGCGTGGCAAAATGTCAACTACAAGAAAATTGTCACTAATGAGTGGTTAAAAGAGCGAGTCGAGTCCGAGTAGGGACTCTTTGTTTGCATAGGCCGACAGAGCCGGAAATAAGAGGGGAGAAACTAAGAGGCGGCTGGAAATTGTATAAAGCGAGTAGCTGGATGTTGGTGGTCCACTGTGTACAGTCAATATTGGCAAATGTGTCCGTTGCACTCTGCTTTGAGGTGGGCCAAAAACGGAAGGGTTGCTGCGGCTTATAAGCAGCAAAAAGCCAAACGGCGAGGGATAATGAAACCACGACAAAAGCGCAAAAGTTACACAGAACAGAAAAGTAGCCAGGAAAAGGACATGAAGGACTCTCGGCAACAGTGACTCTCCACACATTCGGTGTATTTACATGCAAATTATGTTGGGGGAAGTGACTTCCTGTACTTGGTACAGGATTCTTAAAGTAAAGAAGGGAACATACATCTGCTTATATCATAACCAGAGCAACATTAAGTTTGGGTATCTCTTAAATAAATCCAACCTCTGGCCGGAACTCTAGTGTTTCGTGTTAATGAGATAAGCATGCAAATGCCCTAATAGAATGAGCTGCTTCAGCTTCAATTTTCCCGCCCCTTTGTCTTTTATTCAAGGTTCTGATGAGCGAGAAGGAAAATGGAAAAACGTTGGAGAGCTGAGCAGTCAATTAACAAGCCGAACTGAGCTGCAGGTGGATAACCATAACCCAGACAGGGTTCGGGGGAAGGTGCAAAGGGGAAAGACAGCTCCGCCGTTCATCATCGTTTATCTTAATAAACCGCGCACTCAGTCAGACATTAAGCCGTCGAAACCAAAAAGCAGCCAAAAGTCCTTTGGAAAATTGCTTAATTTGCAGTTGGCACTGCCAGCCAGAAACAGAGTAAGGAATATCAGATTCAGATGGTAAAGCTTGGGGCCAGACGAAGTGAGTGTGGCAGATTCAGTGCAGCGTTAAGGCAAACTTGAAGCGCGGCACGTAAAAATGTTGATAAAACGCACAAAGCCAGTTGATGATTTCAATTTATATTTCCAAGTGGAACTCATCTTTAGTGCCGGGCGGAAGAGCATAGCATTTTCCAGTATTTTTACCACCCACTACCACCCCCACCCGCCATTACGCGTTACATGTAGCGAATTTGCTGAAGCATATCACGTGCAACATAATTTTTCCAAGCGACTTGCCACTTGCAAGTAGAAGTAGGTAGGGGCGTGGGGGCTCAAAGCCTGGCGACTGACATGAATGCTCGACGTCACCCAAGTCTTTTTCCCCACATTTTCCCCTTCTCGCTGGAGATGTGTGGCATTATGAGCGTAAAGTAGACTAAATAAATTACGTTTGAGCACCAAAGGTGTTATGCACTGGAAGAAACTAAGTGCAGGGATATGTTTCGGAAGCTTTAAACTAGAGAAATTTTCAGGATGGATAAAAATGTGTTAATAATCTTTCAGATATGTAACAGATTAACATTAGAATCCTTTAAGAAGCAAATATTTAACGTTATTAAAAGTAAAACAACTTAATCTACAAACATGCAATCGACTTTAAAGTTCCAGAGAAGTTCCATCTATTCCGAACCAGAACCCACCTGGTTACCTTC